ACATCTGTTCACTTCTGTATCTGATCACACAACAACCCTCAGAGAGTAAAAAGACTGTTATGTGCTAAACTCACCAAAGTTCCTCTTTTGGTCAACACTACCCTGGAACTATACAGGAAAGGAGACTCTGGGGGATGTAGCTCCCAGATCAACGAATTGACAACAGGACAATCCCCCACACTTCCTGAATGTCTGCCTAAATTAACTCTGACAAGGTCTTCAGGGGCCCAGAGAAGACTTCAGAGGGGCTCCGGGATGTAGCTTGTGAACAAGGACAACCAAAGCCTTGAGGGAGCACGAGTGTCATTGGCTATGGAATCAGGATGCTGCAGCTGTGGACCAGGAGCCACCGCTCGATAAATAATGGCCCTGTCTGATTCAGTTAAGTCATCTGGGCTTTAGGTTTCTTTTCTGGAAAATGAGAACAATCACTCCGAAGCTATCTTCTCCATCCCTTGCTCACGGAACCAATGGGTAGCTGTCCATAAACTCTGACAACTTGATGATATGTGAAGAGCCGCTGTACCTGTCCTCCCACAGAAACGTGGCCAAGGTTTCTGTGCCCTTAGTTTTGCTTAAGAGTTTTGTGCTGTTTCTACTAAGGCAGAAAATACATAGAAAACAGACTCTGGCCTCTCCTCCTTAGATCGCTTTTTCCAGATTTCTGTCCACAAAAGAACCCCTTTCAGGTGGAGGTGGGAAGGGAGGGGTGGTTGGGACTCTAAATACCTCAGGACCATCAATTTTCTCTGCCTGGAGCCTCTTCCTCCTACCCCTCAACCCTCAACCTGTTATTTCTACCAGCCTAAATCCTATTCACCTTTCAGTCCCCAGCTCAAAGAACATTTTCTTCTTCCTAAATGTTTTCTGATTCCCCTCAGCTGGATGGTATTTTTCCCCCTGTTTTAAACCCCATGGGACTTCCTCTTTCATTGCAATAACTATACCCTGATAATGCCTAACACATGAATGTTTGAGTACTTGTCTTAGTCTCCTACTTAACTTCACATTCCCAGAAGCAGGGGACTTGCATATGAAGCTCATGCAACAAGTAATTCATTTTGGGCATACTCCACATTACAGTCCAGATGGAATTTGGTGTATAAATAATTGATGAATTCAGTTGTAAGAAAACAAATTGAGGACATACATCATGTGTTGGTGCCTTAAATAACAATAGCCTGAAAGGACATGGTTGCCCATAATAAGATATAGAAAAATGAAGAGTCTGTGATCCTCAACCAGATGGTTCTTGGTTCTCTATTATGAGTTTTGTGTGATAATGCTTTTGCCTCCATCATATTAATATGATGACCCTAGAAATTGGACAGCCCAAACAAAGCCAGGGCTCAATCTTCCCCCTGTACTCAAAGGTAAATGATTTTTATAGAATTTTACAATTCACAGTAGCAGCTACAAATATTAACCAGGGCCAGTGACCCCTTCTGTTTAACTTATGGCTGGAACTGTCACGGAGCCACATCCTCTCTGGGAGACAGTCCATGTACCCAAGATAAGATTTCAAGAGGTCCTTGAGCCAAAGAAGTTGTCAAAGTGTCTATGTCTTTTGTCATAGACACTCTGGGTTGGTGGGTTCTTTTCTCAAGGGTCAGAAGAGTTCCAAAAGCAAAACTGATATCAGAAAATGCCTGTGATTATCTCTCTACTCTTAAGCAAGTCACTTCCCCTCTCTAGACCTCAGTTTTCTCTAGACAGAGGGCAATTGAAATAGCTCTTAAAGGTCCCTCTCTCCCCACTCTGATATTCCAGGATTCTATTCTGAGAGGCAGGCTGAATGCCCAGGGCTTCGTGGCCTTCTCTTTCCTGCTTCTGAAGACATATACGGCTCAGATTTTCCCAGGGACCTCAGCTGGGGCGTGCTTACCTGTTCTCTAAAATAGTGTCGCTCTACAGGAGATGACAGTTTATCTGCCATCACAAAAATTTCTCTAAGCCTGGAAGATATGAGGAGGGAGTTTATTTATCACAGATTTTCATTAGGTCTCACCCTAATCCAAATGATCACTGATTGGTTTTACTTAAAAGTGTCTATGCTACAGACATTATAAAAGATATCACTATTTATGAGTAATTGATTTTGTATTCTACGGTTAGAGACCACAAACAAGTTCGTGTTCATCATATTCTTTAGCAGGAAGCAATTTGTGTGTTCAAACTCCTGCTCACCGTCTTCTAGTATGTGTGTATGGGTCTGTATGAATGGATATGATGACTTGTTAGAATACCAGTTTGTCAGAATTGGAAGCAAATATAGAGCTCAACTATTTCAAACCCCTGTCTGATTAGGTGGATAACTGAGAACTAAAGAGGAGGCTGCCATGTAACAGTTTATTGTAGATCAGGAACAGGGGTCAGGACACCTTCCATCACTCCAAAGCAGCGGCCACCAAGAGGGTGTGCTCCAGCTCCTTCCGTCACTCACAGCAGAAGCCCTTTCCCAGGCCCTCGCTGTAAACCCAGTTAGTCTTATTTTTAGGTTCTAAGAAGAGCAGCTTAACGGCTTCTATTTTACAACATATTTTAGCTAATAAACTCATAAAGATACATGAAATAAACAGTACATAAAGAAGACGTAAGAACTGCAAAGGCATTATAGTCTGGGGATGTTCAAAGTAAGGCAAGCCCCATTACACAATTCTATATCCCTAAGACGGTTCACTTTCATACCAGTGTCCCTGGATCTCCAAGAAAGGTTAGCATGTTTCACCTAAGAAGGCAAGAATGTGTATAAAGCTCTTTAAAAGGCATTACAGCCCTGGCCGGTTTTGCTCAGCGGTTAGAGCATGCGCCTGCGGTCCGGAGAGACCCGGGTTCGGTTCCCACTGAGGGCATGTACCTCGGTTGCAGTTTGTCCCCGGCCCTGGTTGGTCGTGCGGGTGGCAGCCACTCGATGTGTCCCTTTCACATCAATGTTTCTCTCTCTCTCCCCCTTCCTCTCTCTCCCTCCCACTCTATCTGTACAAAAAATGGAAAAATGTCCTCGGGTGAGGATAAAAATAAATAAATAAATAAAAGGCATTACAGAAAAAAAATATATATATTTTTAATTGTAGTTAAGTAAAACTACAGTTATCTGGAAAACTCAGATAACGAAAATAACCAACCAGCTGTGATGTTCAAGGAAGTTACATTTCAGCTGCGTGCAGATAGGCACATTCTACAGTAATAAGCCTGGTGAAGTTTGGCTAGTATCTGCAGAGAAAAGAAATAAATAGTAAAGCCATGATCTCATCTTCTGTTTACACTTCAATTCCCAAAGTTAGCGATTAGTTGTCCTCGTGTTTTGTTGCCAGGGCAAATTGTTTTTCTTTAAAACTCCCACTTATTTTAAACAAATAAATCATTAGTTTAAAAACAGCAGTGTCAAATGTCAAGATACTCTGACATACTAAACTAATAAGCAAAACAATTCATTAGAATCTACTAGAGATAGGCAGCCTTTGATAACTTTCCTTTAATGACTTTGAAAGGCAGCAAAATCATTCTTGGTCGAGATTTCCTTATGCATCTTGGCTAAAACATCAGCCTAGAAGCTGCAAATACAAATACAAGCGTAAAAGAATGTGGTAAGGTGCAAACAATAGAGTCATGGGAAAGCCAAGTGCTTGTGGTCAATTAAATAATACTACACAGCTGCCACACTGTGCTTCCCAAATCAACACGCAATCACCGTTAGGCAACCTGTTTAAGATCTCTGCTTGGGTCTCTGAATGTACCCTGGGTTTCTGGCTTTCCCACTGTAGTGAATTCTTTTAGCAAATAGGAAACTTTGCATATGAGTCTTAGTACAAACATACACAAAAATGCACTATTGCTGGACGATCCCAGTGGTTTTGGTATTATTAAAACTGCCTATGCCCAGCCTGTATGGCTCAGTGGATCGAGCAGCGTCCCATGGACTGAGAGGTCCTGGTTCGATTCCCGGTCAGGACACATGCCTGGGTTGCGGGTTCAATCTCCAGTTGGGGGCAAGCAGGAGGCAGCCCATAGATATTCTCTCTTACATCAATGTTTCTATCTCTCTCTCCCTTCCTCTCTCTCTAAAAAATCATTAAAAACATAACATAAAATAAAATAAAGACTACCTATTCAATGTAGTTCCCATGACATAACTTCCCTGTCAAAAGTTTTTAATGTCTTCCCTTTACTCTCAGAATGAAGAGTCAGATATTACTATGGCATTCAAGATCAACCATGATCTAGTTTCAACCTACACTTCAAGTGCATCTCCTACAATCTCCATAGACTACCTGGCTTCTCGTTGCTCTCAAAATGGGTCATGTACTTTGAGTTCTTGACAACAAATAACTCCTATATGCCTGGTCTGTTCCATGCACTGAAGTCACATCTGTAAAGAAAACAAAGTCTTGTTGTCCTGCAGCTTACATTCTAATGGGAATAGTTCACCTCCTTCTGAGCATTCCCTGTGCTTGTTTTCCATTAAACCAGCTGTCACACTGAATGATAGCTCCGTGTGCGTTTTCAGCAGTCTGAACTCTGTCTCCCCACGCCCAGCTCTGTGTCTCATTCTTCTATCATCATCCCCATCACCAGTGTCAGGCACACGCTGAATGCTCAATGAATGGGCCAAATAGTGTATATAAAGTTTGTTTTCTTTGGAAATGTGGTAAATTTCTGTTGCATACAGAATTCATCTGTGAGTTTATCTAACTCTTTTTTAATTTTAACACTGAGTTATTTTCAACAAACAAGCCATTTGGTTGTCAACAGGAATGACAAAGGTCAAGCTACTTCCGATGGACCTAAACGAAATGAATGAAACAGCGACTGGACGGCCCCTTTGACTTACCCTGCAATGTGTCTTCCCTTGAATTCCAGAATCCCTAATCCCTCGCTTTAGGTTTCCCTGGCTGCCTGGTGTGCTTAGGGGCAGCCCCTCCCTTTCTTCGACGGGAGACCAGCAGAGAAGCTCATTTGGGAAACTGCTCATCTTGTTCCCTTTCTCTTTGGCCTCAAAGGTAGAAACTGAAGACCAGTTGCTGGCACTCTTCTGTGGCAGCGAGAACACAGACACTGAGCACACCCCTGGCCAGGAAGTGGTCCTCTCCCCTGGTTCCTTCATGTCCGTCACTTTCCAGTCAGATTTCTCTGATGAGGAGCGATTCACAGGCTTCGATGCCCACTACATGGCCGTGGGTAAGTGAGAAGTGCGTGGCTCATCCCCAGGTCTCCCTTTCTCACTAAACACTCAAAGTGCCTTGTGCTTTCTTCTTTGCAATGAACACCTGTGTACTCACCACACAGATTCTACCATGAATGTCTTACTGCATTTGCTCTATCATATATCCACCTGCTGACCGGTGACTTGGAGCATCTTTTCTTTCTTTTTTTTTTTTTTATCCTCACCCGAGGATATTTTTCCATTTTTTGTACAGATAGTGTGGGAGGGAGAGAGAGGAAGGGAGAGAGAGAGAGAAACATCGACGTGAAGGGACACATCGAGTGGCTGCCACCCGCATGACCAACCAGGGCCGGGGACAAACTGCAACCGAAGTACGTGCCCTTAGCGGGAACCGAACCCGGGTCTCTCCGAACCACAGGCCGACGCTCTAACCGCTGAGCCAAACTGGCCAGGGCTGGAGCATCTTTTCATGTACTTGTTGGCTGTTTATGTATCCTTTGGGGGGAAATGTATGTTCAAATTTTTTAATTGGATTGAGAACACACATCTTTTTTATCTTTATATTTCAAATGCTTAGAACAGTGTTTGATTTCTATATGCAACACAGGACGGGAGAGGCAGCATGGAGAAGTCAGAGCCCATGCTCCAGAGCCAGCCCACCTGGATTTGATTGCTGCCTCCACCACTTACTATCTGTGTGACCTGGAGTCAGTCATTTAATGCCTCTAAGTCTCAGTTTTGCCATCTATAGAATGGGAACAGTAACTGTCCTGCTTGCTATTATCAAAATTGTTAGATAATAGTGGCTCCACCAGGAGTCAAGGTTGCTTGGGTTTGAACCTGGCTCTCTGTAATCTTGGGGAAACCTCTCCCCTCTCTGAGTTCCCATTTCCTCATGTGAACAGAGAAACCGGCTACTTCTGGGCTTCATGTGAGGATTAAATGATGAAACTCATGCTAAGTGCTCTGTAAATGTTGGCTGTTGTCCTCACCACCCCACGCGCACTGACTGACTGAGAGGCTGTCTGCCCGCAGACGTGGACGAATGCACCGAGCGGGAGGACGAGGAGCTGTCCTGTGACCACTACTGCCATAACTACATTGGAGGCTACTACTGCTCCTGCCGCTTTGGCTACATCCTCCACACGGACAACCGGACCTGCCGAGGTGGGGCCTAGGGGTGATCCTATTCATCGCCATCGGGTGACACGTTTTCCAATCAGATTGAGGACGCTCAGAGAATGGACAGATATACAGTAGGAACAATTAAAAGTGAAGTCAGAGAGCTGTGCCTCCAGGTACCACATGGATGATGCTGTTGACATGCCCAGAAGCCCTAGCCTCTGGGCCATCTTTCTTCCCGGGCAGCAGAAATCTCTGCCCTTTTCTCCCTATCTGTTCTCCTACTGCAGGCCGTCAGTCTGGCCAAGTTTAGGAAAAATGGTTTCCTAGTCCCCTCTCTGAGCCATGAACTAGGTCTCACCCAGAAGTTCCTTTTTTCCTTCTCTTCCACGGCCCCTAAATTCCTCTGTGATAAAGAGAACCCCCGTCCAAAGGGAAGGAGGAGGAGAGAGGCAAAGACAGAAGCAGCAAGAAAACACCTCCTTCTTGCTATCTCTGTTTTCATCTCTCATCCACATACCTATTCTATTCTGCCATAGTGTCTGGGCTGGGCAGAGGTGGACAAGCAGAGGGGTCAGCTACTTTCCATGAGGACCACCCAGGCGAGTGGGAAGCGGCCGCACAAGCAAGTAGTAAATGCTGTACAAGAAGAGTGGCCACAGCACAGTCAGACCTCAGTCCACCTGGGGAGGGAGCAAACACCTCCCAGAAATGGTGGCGCTGGCAGACGTAAAGGAACAAGGAAGGGGCGAGCGTTCTAGGCAGGACACAGCTTTTGCAAACCTCCCCAGGTCTGACAGAGCATGGAGCGTTTGGGGAATTACCTGTAGATTAGTGAGACCGCAGGGTGAGGACCTGTGTTTTAGGGAAATCCCTTGGAAGCTGAGTGAGGGATCACTGGAGGAGAACAAGGCTGGAAACAATAATTCTCTTCTCCTTCAAAAGCTTCCACTTGTGTCTGAATAAAATCCCTATATGACTCATCAGTACAGAGCAGGCACATTTGGGGTTTTCTTCCAGAGAGGGTCATATTTTCTGTTTCCATTCAGTAAGGTTTTATTGAGTACCTGCTATATGCTGAGTACAGTGGAGGCTAAGAATGAGCAAGGTTTCTTGATCTCTTTTTCATTTTTACCTGTGCCTCCAGGAATTTTTTAAAATATCATCTTCCTAATCTTCTTAATATCTGCCCCTGCGATATACTGTATATATTGTTTACGTGCTGTATGCCTATCTATTAATAAAAAGGGTAAGACATCCCCCCACCAAGAACCAATTTTAGCCATGAGAATGCTTGGGGTGGAAAATGCAAACAGGTGAGAATTCAAGTGACCTTGATCTAAACCTTGTTCTAGAGCTCAGAGTGGTAGAACTTCAAGTTAGTCACATGCCCTTTTCTGGGCCTCAGTTTACTCATTTGCAAATGAGCAGGATGAGCAAGTGCTTAGACAGGACTGACATCCTAGGTCTAGGATGGGCCAGCCCAAGGACAAAGGTACAGCAGCCAATAAAAGGACGTCAGCAGCGCTAAGCCATGGCCAGGATCCTAGGACACTGGGTCCCTGATGCAGCAAATGCAGTGGGGACAAAGCAGACTCCCTGAGCTCAGGGGACCTTCAGTCTACTGGGAGCAAGAGAATCCACAAACAAATATATCACACAATGGCAAGTAGCGGTCAACAGCATGAAGGGCAACAAAGCAAGGCCAGAGGCCGGAGAGAGTGTGTGAGGGATGGAGGCAGGCTTTGAGCAGAGACCTTCTGGGCTGAGGGGAGAGCAGGCAAAGGCAGTCCCGACATCCCCCTCACAACCACTCAAAACCTTCCCATGTTATGCTCCCTTTGTCCCCGAAGGCTTATCACATTCACTGCCTTTGAGTCTTGACTCTGCAAATTATTAGGTATGTGACTTTGGATAAATTACTTCCCTTCATTGAACTTCAGTTTCCCCATCTGTTAAATGGGGAGAATGAATCCTTTCCTGCTTGCCTCTTGGGACCGCTAGGAAACCGTACAGTAACAGATAAGAAAGGCGTTTCTGTGGCCATGGTGTGCTGTGTCACTTTGCTCTGGTACGTTTCCACAGTGGAGTGCAGTGACAACCTCTTTACCCAGAGGACCGGCATGATCACCAGCCCTGACTTCCCCAATCCTTACCCTAAGAGCTCTGAGTGCTTCTATGTGATCAGACTGGAGGAGGGTTTTATGATCAGCCTGCAGTTTGAAGACATTTTCGACATTGAGGACCATCCAGAGGTGCCTTGCCCCTATGACTACATCAAGGTAAGCCTGCAATGGTCCTTTGCGCTGAGGGTGCTGGAATATCTGGCTGAATTGGGAAAACTAATATTCTTGCCCTCTACCTTCTCCCAGGATAGGGGGCCAAGCAACTTACTTCCCAAAGAGTAATTATTTAAAATAGCATCTACCAGCTTAATCAGATCCAGTCTAGGGATCTTCCCTGATCCAAAACTACCCAATTGGCCACCTGCAAAATCCCGTTTGCCCTGTAACATAACATCGTCATGAAGTAGCACCCAGGGTGAAGGTCATGGGGACCACCTTAGAATTCTGCCCACGACACATGGTCTTCCAGGAGTTCTATCATGAGCCTTATCGAGGTACTTAATCTCTTGGGGCTTTGCTTTCCCCTTCTCCACAGTGAGGGTGGCAAGATGAAGATACCACCGGGATTATAGAAGTCACTAAATGAGGGTTAAGGAATTCTCATCTTCAGAGATGGAAGGAAAAAGTTAAAGGCATAGAAAGGACCCAGGGCTGAGAGCTGAGAAATCTGGATCAGCCTATAGTACCTATTCCCTTTCTTCACCCCACTGCCTCTATCCCAGCACAAACCCCCATATTTCCTGGTCAACTGCAAAGCTTCGTAGTAGGTTTCCTAGCTTCAACCCTTGCCCTGCACAGCCTGTTCTCCCGTGAGATCCAGGCTGATCTTTACAAAGGGCAGATGCGATCAATGTTGCACTTGGAAGTAAACACAAATTCCTCAACCTCACGTGGCCCTTGCCTGCCTTCTCTACCTCACGCGGTGGCACTTCCTCTGCTCCAACCACACTGGCTTCCTTCTGCTCTTAATGCTTTCCAGACTCTTTCCTACCTTTGGCCTTGACCTTCCCCTTTGCTGTTTCCTGCCTGGAAAGTGTCCTCCTCTCCTCCTCCAATGACAACCTCCTGTTCATCCTGCGTGTCTCAAATCCAATGTCGCCTCCTCAAGGAGGCCTTCCCTGGCCACCTATTTAGAGTTATTATCATATTAATGATGAATTCTATAGGTCACATAGATTTTACTACATATTATAAACCTAGAGTATATATTTATTGTCAGACTCCCCCAGCTAGACTACAAATTCATTGAGCGCAGAGGCCTTTTTCTGTGCTGTGCACCCGGACAAGGTCCGCCCCTCTCTGAGTTGTGCTGTGTTCATCTTTGAGCAGGGGATTATGGGCCTGCTTTGCGCGCTGTCAGGGCCACTGTACGTGGTAAATGGGGGGCTGGAGATGGAACAGCTGGTGAATGGTGACGCCTACCAGGAGTGTGATGGATACGGAGGTTTCCAGGAACCCCGGGGCGCAGAGCAGAGGAGGTCCCTGCGGCGGCCACGGCTGCTCCAATGTGACCTTCTTTTTCTTCATTTTGCTACTCACAGATTAAAGTCGGCCCAAAGGTTTTGGGACCCTTCTGTGGAGAGAAAGCCCCGGAACCCATCGACACCCAGACTCACAACGTCCTAATCCTATTCCGCAGTGACAACTCGGGCGAGAACCGGGGCTGGAAGCTCTCGTACAGGGCAACAGGTACCCTGGGCGCTGTGCTCGGCCCTCGTGGAGCGGTGGCCGAAGGAGAAGGGGTGCTGGCCTGGGACTCCTCTGGGATTGTGGCAGGACTCCCAGTTCTGCCTCTGAGGTCGCCAAGGCACATTCTGTCTTCCGACTCAGTGTCTCATCTATAAAATGGGATGAAGGGCCGCAGTGATGTGTTCGAACTTACATTCAGGATCACATGGGGAGATTAAGAAACAAAACTCGGTGTTTGAACTGCCCCCTCACACTGTGATTCCCTGAGCCTGGCGAGGACCTTCCAGCGCCAGCCCTCTCCAAGTCTGAGGCGGTGCCCTGGGTGTGGGCCTGCAGCTCAAAATGCTCCCTTGTGGCAGTTTGCCTCCTTGTGCTCCCCCAGACTGGCAACGCCCACAGCTTTCCCTCCCCACTACCCCAGGGCAGCCAGTCCCCGCCCAAACTCTGATGGAGCCCTTCCACCCAAAGGGTATACACTAACTAGAAAAAAAGAGGAGAGTGGACATCAGCAACGAGACCACAGCTGGGTGTGACTAATGCCATTAGCAGGCTCCAGTGTCCTGGCCTGGCCTGCATTATCAAATTCAGTGCCCAGTTCTGGGGAGAAAAGTGACAAGAATATTAACAAAAGAGAGTTTGTCTAGAAAAATAAATAAAAATGTCAGGGATAGTCCCAGGCCTGGGAATCCTGTCTGATTTCACCTTTTGAAGAGAGGGCTCAGAGGTATATGATCACAGTCCAACACTTTGAGGAACGGTCTTGGGAAGAAAGAGAGATTGGAGTCACCCCGAGTTCCCCAAGAGGGCCGACCACACCTGATGAGTCAAAATTACATCTCAGTTGAATATGAAACTACTGCTCCTTTAATCAGGTGAGTGTAGTATGAGAGGTACAGGTTTGCGAGGTGGTGTGCTCCCTGTCACTGTAGGAATGCAAATAGATGTTTGATGTCTACTATGGAAGATGTTATTTACAAAAAAAGGCGTCAGAAGAGGATTGCACTCAGTGACATTTCATATGCTACCCAACCCTGAGTTTTGATTAAATCATCTGGCTAACCACCTCATTTTACAAATGAGGAAAGGGAGGTCCCAGTTGAAAAGTGGCCTGCTCGGGGTTCCAGTGAGTCTTCAGGGCTTATTAGGCCCAGGCCCCAAAGCCCAGTTCTGTGTTTTCTGCACCCCCATCACGCCTGGCAGTCTAGGGATGGGCTTCTCGCTGCCAGACTTTTGTTTCTCACTTCTTTTGTTTCTTCCATTGCTCCCCACCAGGGAAGGAGTGCCCAGTGCTACAGCCTCCTGTCCACGGGAAAATTGAGCCTTTGCAAGCCAAGTATTTCTTCAAAGACCAGGTGCTCATCAGCTGTGACACGGGCTACAAAGTGCTGAAGGTACAGGCTCCTGCCCGGGGAGAGAGAGCCACTGGCCAGAGAAGTCCTCCGAGCCTCCCAGAACAGAGGGGCTTCCAGAACTTGAGATGATCCTACCAGAGTATTTTCTAGATTCCCCATAAACCTTCAAAATGCTCCAAAAGTTCCAGTCTTCTGAAAATACAAAGCATGTGTCCCAGACTCACTTCTGGAAGAAACACAACAGTCTTTTACCAGAGCCTGGCCTGGTTTGAATTTCAAAAAAAAAAAAATCTAGACCTCCTCAGCGCTACAATCAGGACAAACAACATTGACGAATTTGAGGCATACTGGGGGAATGGGAACGGAAAGCGGAGATTTTAGAGGTGGCAGGCAGGTACTGCTCACCCCCTCACCCTCTGCAACAGTGGTTCTAGGAATCACCTGCTTAACTTAAAAAGCAAAGTCACCTCCCAGGCCCACCTGAGCTCAATGAAAGTAGGATCTCTGGGGTGGTGCCCCGTGACTGGTTTTTCTGTCATGTTGCCCAGGTGAGTCTGATGTGAACCAAACTCAAGGACCGCTGCCCTCAAGAAATGGTTCTTGAAGTGGGGTTCCCACCGCAGTATCTTCTCACTGGTTCAAAATGCAAGGCTTGATCCCCAGGCCAGGCCCACTGACTCAGAAACTCCGGGGGCAGGGCCCGGGCATCTGGGCACAAGTCCTCAGAGATGTGGATGCTGGCTCAGGTCTGAGAGCCACTGCTCTGGAAAAGGAGTCAAGGGGGGAGGTTTCCCTTCAGAGACGGTGCCCAAACCCCTTCTCACACCCTGCCTTTCGCCCTTTCCAGGGTAGGAATAGGGACTATAAACTCAGCATCTGTCTTTCCCTTACCTTCAAGTTTGCCCATGGAAGCTTATGGTCAGGAAATCTCAGGTTAGGACACCCAGGTTTCTAGTTTGAGCTGGTTTTACTGGAAACCACCACCAGCCCCACCTCTCTTCCTTCTCCCCACACCTTTTCCTGTTTCTCCTAGGACAACGTGGAGATGGACACGTTCCAGATGGAGTGTCTGAAGGACGGCACATGGAGTCACAGGATTCCCACCTGTAAAAGTAAGAAAACAAACTTGGTTGATTACACAGACTATGAGCTCCCCAGCACAGTGGGATTTGAACAGAGACCACGCAAGGGAGACAGCTTGGCAGATACACTTTGAAAGAAAAGGGGCGGGAAGTCAGCAGACCCATGTGGGCTGGACCAAAAAAAAAGACTATTAATGTTTCTTTCAGAAATAGGACATTAGGATTCCAAAAGGAACTTTTTGTGGGTCCCAGTTTAGTTTCTAAATACTAATTTTACCTCTGCCTGCAGACAGGTCGCCAAACTTGCTAAAGGAAGAGCATGTCTCCTGGTTTGAAGCTAGCTCTGGCAATGGCTAATTCAGGAAGCTATTCTGGCCCCAGTACCCAGAGCCCAGTGACCTTGTCAGTCTCTGTGTGGCCGTCAGCCAAATCCACTGTCTTCTGGGACAGCTGATGCTTTAGGGCTGTAGGGTCCGCACAGTGAACGTGTGTGAAGCAGGGGACACAGTTCTTCCCGGCTCTCAGGACCCAGAGTTCTTGCCTTGTCTCTGCTCCTAACCTACCCTCTGACCATGGACAGGATCCTCCTCCTTGACAGTAGAATAAAGAGTTGGACTAGCTTTAATATTCTAGACTATATCCTGGAATGTAGTCCATATAAATCACCTACTGAGCTTTGTAGATCAAATTGTCGGCCACTACCGCCTCTCCCTCTGCCCCGGTGATTTCAATGCAAAACTTGTAAGGACCACAATTTGAGAAAACTCATCTATAGGGCAGAAAGGAAAGGAAACGAAGAGGGAGGACAGGAAGGCATATTTACTTTAGAACAGAGGGGTGAGAAGTCAAGCATTAGGATTGGTCCTGCCCACCTGTAGTTCATGACTTCATGAACACTTTGGCGTGGTGTCCCACCACCTCCTAAATGGCTCAGAGCCATTCCCACTGCCCCAAGGGGACACTGTCAGGGCAGGGCTCGCTTGAGGCAAATCCCAGGCAGAACTTTGGAGAAGAGTGTGCTTGTTTTTCATTTTTCTTTTTTTATATGATGATGTGGCTGGAGCCAGAGCCCATTGTGGGGAAGGGAGGAGGACGCCATTGACAGTTTCAACAAAAAGTTTCAACGAACATTTACCCGATGCCTATCCAGAGGTCTATGAGGAACTTGGGTAAAAAAGACAAGGTCCAGACACGGAGGGACTCAACTGCCAGCAGACACAGCTGCCCCGCCTCCAGCCTGTGGCTCCTGTGAGGCGCTGTGGCTGAGTTCCACCACGCAAGGGGGTGTTCGGAAGGAGGGGCTAGAGGAGGGTTTGGGGTGCACAGGACAGAATGTGGCTTTGGAGTCAGAAGGTTGTAGATTCAAGTCCAGACTCAAACAGTTGAAGGCCCCTAAGCAATCTAGTCAGATGCTTTTGGCCTCAGTTTCCCACATTCTTGACTGTTCTGAGGACTGACTGTGTTCATGTACATGTCATACCTGTGGAGCGCCAGGAGCAAGGAACAGCTCGAGAAAAGCTTATTTCTCTCCCCCACCCCCCAACTCCTTCCCTAGGAAGAGGTTTGGTTTCTCTCATTCACACTTTTGGAAAGTAGGAAACTTGAATAATAGTTTTCTTCCCTAATGAAACACACACACTTTTTAGTGTAACGGATGTGTTGCTAGAGTTAGGCACACCTATATCCGATGGTACTCTTTTAAGTGACTTTGGTTAGTATACAAAAGAATTCCTGTCATTTTGTGCCACAGAAAAGAGGAATTTTTTTCTCCCTAATATGACCTGGTTCTCCCAGCACAGCCTGGATTAGAACTATTAGAATCTCTATTTAGACACACCCGGCATCTCTGATCGTTCACTGAGTGGGTGTTTATTGAGCATCTCTCTGTCCCAGGCATGTGCCAGGTCCCAGGGGAGATGCAAAGTTGAACAAGACTGAGAAGCTGAGAATCCCCAGAGGTGGTGAGGAAAGGGGTTGGGAACATACAGGAAGTGTGTGTGCTGGAGAAAACCTGCACAGGACCAGGAAGTAGAAATTATGGGTTGCTGTCCTGGCCCTGCAACCACTCTGAACGCCATCTGTCAAATGAGGGTCTGCATCAGGTGAATGCAAAGCCTGCTCTGGGGCAGAATGTTATAATCCTCATGAGCCAGAATTTATGATTTGTGCAAATTCTCCAAATGGTACAAATTCCACAACCCCAAACTGTCCTTCACACTGGCTGTACCTGAACTATGCGTTCTTAATCAATTCTGGTGGAGCGATTTCTGTGTTTCCTGCATAAACTGCTTCTGCTTTGCTTGCTAATTTTTCTCTTCTTTCTCTTTCTCCCTTCCTCTCTCTGCTCCCTTCCTCTGGACCCACTGATCCCTCTTTGATCTTCACCACGGTGACAGAAACCGAAATGGATGTGGAGAGCGAACTCGAATCAGAGCAAGTGGCTGAGTGAATGACGGGACCCCACACATTGCAGACATCCAGGAATGGATCCCTCCCAAGACCCCGGGCCCCGAGCTACTCCGTCCCTCCCCACCACGCCAGCACTCCGTTCCCGTTTCAGTGCGGATTAGAGAGGGCACTAAACAAGGCAACACAGTCTCAAGCAGCTGAAACTCCTGTGTGTATGAGAACAGTTCTCCATTTGAGGGTTCACCCACCATTCAAACGTTACTCTAGAAAACAATAAAAAGACACTGGGAGATTTTTTTTTTTTAGCACCTCTAAGTGGAATGTATTCTTCTCAAAGGAAAAATGACTTTGGTCCTAGAGATCTCGTGATTTAATGATACACAATCATATGGCTTTAGGTTGACCAGGTCAAAGTGGGCCCTGGTTTCCAATCCACTCCACACTCCAAGTTTAAGTGGACCAGAATGCCTATGACTTTATGACTTTAATATTTTCACCTGTTGCCCCTTTCTTAACATGAGTAGGTGGAACTAGGAATAACTCTTATAGCCCAGATTTTTAGGGAGTCTAGATATATCCTCATGCCTAGAAGTTTCCCTTCCACCTACACCTAACACAGGGCTGAGATTCCATCATCAGGGGTTCTTTCCTCTGGGGCTTACAAGTTTTGAATTTCTCAAAATTTACTGCTTAAAGTTCTTTAAAAGGTAGGCATCACACTGCAGGCAGTGGTCCTCAGCTCGGGTGCCCCGGGACATCACTGAACAAAATCTGGATTCACATATCAGAGAAGCCTTGCATGGCATTGTGACTACTAGTCAATTTGCTGATGAAGTGGCCCCTGGAGGAGGTCAGAATCCCACAAGGGCGAACAAAGAGCAGTCCAGAGACCGCAGTGCCAGCCTAGGGCAGGGGTGCCCCTAAGATAGGACACGGGGTGGTCACTAAATACCAGCATCAGTTGAATCAGTATTTTTAAGCCCACAAAGTATAATTGATGTTGTACTTAGTGTGTTAGAAGGAACTATAATTTAGGCAGAAGGCATGAAATCAACATAAGATACACACATCAGAGAAAAGTCAACAGATAAAGGGATCTGCAAGGAGAAATGCAGACAACCAGAAGCAGCCCTATCTGGTTTGAAGAATGAGAAAGGCTTTCAAGAAAGAGCGGTGTTCAAGGCCTGGAGGCTGGCCGGAGCCTGGACACGCAGGCTCTCCCATGTGGGGAGAGCTGCGGGGGGAAAGAGGCCCAGGAAGGGGTGTGATGCTGGAGCACAAGTACTGAGCGGAAGGATGGAGATGAGGCTGGGCGGGAGGGGGCCATCCCTGGGTTGAGCCAACTGTGAGTTGTCCAGGAAGTTCCCAAATGGTGACAAAGTAGGCTCAGGACAGCATGTCAAGAAAGATGTGTCTGAAAGAAAATAAATGGCAGAAAAAGGTGACAATGGAGACAAGACCTGGGGTGGTACTTCCCATTCCAGAGAACAATGAGAAAGGGAGGCCAAGGGAATGGGAAAGAGGGGCGGGGCACGTTGAGAGAGTGGAAATAGCCAGAGGAAGCTTCAGAGAAAAGGATGAAACTCTTCCTAAAGCAAAGAGGACAGACTAGCCGAGGAAGCAGGGTCCGGATGTGGCATCTTTGATGGTGCCGGGCAGAGCTGATCAAGGCCTCCCAAAAGTGGACGTTGTCTCCAGGCCAGAGAGAGACTTGGTTCTTTGCCGGCTACCATAGACTTGGGGAGAAGGCACCCCTTCCCTGCTCACTCTCCCCAAGCTGAAGTGACCTCCATTTTCCACCATGTGTTACCTCCTCTAGATGGTTGTAGGGCCAGCTTTAGCAGTAGGCAGGTTTCTTCTCTGGAGCGATGTGAAAGCAGGCCCTCTACCCAGGAAACTCACCATTGCGGGCCGTGTCACATAGCCTGACCGTCTCACTCACCATGGCTAAGACCAACTCTGGAATTCGTCCACCTGAAATTAGAATCAGGTCTGGAGGCTACCTTAGGCAAAATGAACTGCCAGACCGGAGTTAAAGGAGACAAGTGTAAAACCAAGATCCAGGCACCAATCAATGGCATTTCCTAAAAAAAGGAGGAAAAATCTGCTTTGGTATTCGGAGGATAATACATGTAAATTTGTGGCGAGCTTTCAGTAATAAATATGATCACCCCTTGTTCTATCGCTGACCTCCACATGCTCTCCTCAGGGAGTAGAAGCCTGTGTGTACTTCGAGTGATCAAAACACATGGAAACGATTTGTCTCGGGGGGTTGGAGGCCAGGACAAAACACTCCTGACTTTGGCCTTCCGAGAGGGTAAGAGGGACCCCCTCGCCCTCTGCTGCATCCTGGAGAGCTTGGAGTTAGCTGTTTTTTAAGTCTGACAGTTCTGTAAGCAATCAAATAGATAAATTTAGATTCCTAAACTTTAAAGTCATTAATATTTGAGTAGTATCTGAGGGGTGTATTGCCCCCCCCCCCCCCCCCCCCGTTTCCCAAGATAAACAGGTAAAATTCAGCAAGAGGAAAATTCTGGAAATTCTACCAGGGCCTTGGAATTCAGTCCTCTGAATTATCAGAAGATTGATAACTAAAGTCCACCATTACCCAGCTAATACTGATTATAGGCAGTTTCAACTAGAAAAACAGATCCTTCAGAACTGTCCATTCGGTTTATTAAAAAACAAAACAAAACAAAAAAAAACTGAGTTTAAGGTCAGGTCTAGTTCCCTGACCAGTTCTCTGTGTGCCCTTAAACCAGTCAAGTCTCCTCTCTGAGCTCATCTGTAAAGTAAAGATCACTTTCTAGATCACCTGCCAGAACAGTCCTTTGCAGCTGAAGTTCTGTGATTCCTCTAAAATTCTTCAACGCTGGCACAGGCTGTTAGGATTTCCTTAGAAATGAACAACACCCCCTAACGGAGGCCCATGAAGAGACACTGACAGTTTGGGTCCTCAGACTATAACCTGGCCCCTGGCAGGCTTGTAATGGACTCTATCAGTGCTAGAAACATACCTGAGACCTGGTTGGACGCATCTTTGGTCTTATCCTACAGCCAGCCCTAATGTTCAGTCACCGATGATTGGAGAAAATAAGCAGGTGAAGACTAAAAACATTGGTCCACCCTGACCCCACTTCTGTGTCTACAGAGCCAGCAGGGTGGGGCTGTATTGGATTTCTTCCTGTTATTCTTTTTCTTTTTGCTGAGCTCCAGTGTGAGCACATTAATGGCTCTTACTCAGCGTGTGTTTGGATCTGGAAGAACTGAATATTCTTTGATTCTTGTTAGCCAGAATTTCTTGCTGAGCCACAGGCTTCAAGCTTGGGCAGAAGAGGCTAAGAGGGCTGAACAATAGATCTGAAAGTCAAAAAAGGGGCCCTGGTGGTGAAGAGATGGATCTGCTTAAGTCTCAGCAGATCTGCCCTTGTCCTGAAATTGACATCAGGCTAGGTGAGCTGACCACACAGTAGATGGGAGAGACCCTGCAAGCAAGACCTCCGATGATTACAAAGGTTGCGCCCTCCACATCCCCTGGGACGTCATTCTCATAGACTATAATATGGCTTACTGGACTTGTGTGCAGAGCAGACAACTATATGAGGCAGACCTACCAGGTCCCAAGAAGAAGAGAAAAGGGCAACGGAGGGATCTCATTCTCTTCTCTATCAGTTGCAGACTGTGGAGCCCCGGCAGAGCTGGAGCATGGTCTGGTCACCTTCTCCACAAGGAAAAACCTGACCACATACAAATCTGAGATCAGATACTCCTGCCAGCAGCCCTATTACAGGATGTACCACAATATCACAGGTGAGCCCTGCATGCTAAGCCAGTCCTCTCCTACCTCTTACCCTCTGGGTCTCAGGATTAGGGTGGGGGCTGAAACAGCAGGAATGGGGAAGAAAAACACAGGAGACATGTCTTACCTCTCCCTGGCTCAGGCCTGTACCTCAAAAGATAGGCCACATGGTACCCCACACATTTACATATACACACTCACAGCCTTCTACAGAGAAGGAACCCATAGGGAGATGGAGCTGATCAGTTCTGCCCCTGCCGCAAACTAGCACTGAGAAAATTCCCCTAATTTCTCAAAGCCTCCGAGTTCTCACTTTAAAAGTGAGCAGGGATGTAGCTCACAGAGCTACTGTAAGACTCAGCTGAGATGACATGAGAGTGGTTCATTAAAGAGTCTGTTAAATGACAAAGGAAGGGAAGGAGAGTGTGCCACAGAGCACTGTGTGAACCAACGCCTGTGTGACTAATGGCATGTGCCTGCCAGCGGCTGGGCAGGGCTGGGCAGGGAGACGGCAGCCTCCAGACAGTGGAGTCAGATTGCACAAAGCCTTGGACACCACGCTGCAGTGTGCGGTGTTTGTTTTTGAGGGCAACGAGGAGCTATTGTTATTACTGAGCAGTGGAGGGACATGGTCAGATTGTCATTTTAGAAAGAGCCTTCAGGTTGCAAAGAGGACTGGCTCAGAGGGAATGGCATCAGAAAGACAATCTGGAAGACTGGCAGTGGTCCACAATAGAAGAATTAGGAACCCAGATCCATTTTCCATGTGCTTTAAATCAACCATTTTCTCCCTTTTCTTCAATCTTTCTTCACTCTACCAGGTATCTATACCTGTTCTGCCCAAGGAGTCTGGATGAATGAAGTACTGGGGAGAAGCCAGCCCACCTGCCTGCCAGGTATCTCGCCCTCAAGTCCTCTGCCTCAGGGTCTCCTATGCAAGGTGTTAGGGCCACAGGTGCTCTGGCTGTTAATGGAGCAGGGAGTTGGGGGATGACGCTTTGATTGCTTTTTAAGATACCTTCAGAGGGTCCAAAGTCAGAGAAGCCCAGCCTCTATATTCGCCTGTTCTATCAGACTGGTTCTGCTGCCTTCACACCAGGATTTTATCCTACACAGTTTGTGTGGTTCAGGAAAATCAAGAAAGCAGGCACCCCATCCTCAAGCACTCACTGTGCTGCAGAGGAAACGAACAGCAGCAGACAAATAACCAGAGGACAGAGGAGGTCCTTTCAAAGATCAGTGTGTTCAAGTCTTACTGACTGCTGCCTCCTGGTGGCTCACCTACTGACCCACTTTAAAATGAAAAAAGACGTGTAGTAATAGGGAATGTCACTGTGTATATAGATTTAGGGGATATTCTGTGGATCGCTGTGTTAGCATTAAAAGCATGGATGATTTACACTGCAATCATGGTGCATATATGTATATGTTAAAACCAGCTTATTAGAAGAATATAGCCCTAAATAACCCACAAAATTATATTTAATATTCACAACACTGAAATGTATGCTTTTTTTAAAAAGCAAGAACAGAAGTAATTGAAAGACGAAACCATTCCAGACAGCACTAAGGAGCAGTACTGATTCTGTCTATGTGTTTAGTCCAGCGTTAGGAGCTTCCCAGTATGGCTAAGTGTTGGGTGTCATTTGTATTTTACTGAATTAGAGTATTAAGTAGATGGAGATAATATTATCATTCGATTGCTACATTTTAGTAACCCTCAGTATCACTCAGTAGGCTTCTAGGTCTTAGAAATGGAAAGGCTATGGAGTCATCTATCATTAGCCTTAAGAACTGAAGAAAGTGTCAGCGTTTGGGAATCAGTTTTGGCCACACAGGAGCTATGAGATACCAGAGAAGGGGGAAGTCACTGAACGTGGTTGTCTGGGAGTGGAAGGGTGAGGACTGGTTAGGAAGACTTAACTTAGGAGGGCTTTATGTTTACAAAGGAATTCTTGAAGAGGTAAAAGAGGGGAAGGTCAACCCACCCACACTCTACTAATCCCCATCATCTCATTTAGGCTCAGCCAGAAAGACACCCAAGGCGTCACACAGTTGGTAAAATCTCAGAGGAAATGGGGAATAGTGGAGTTGTAACAAACAGAGGGTCAAATCCCTACTTTGTTAAAATACTATGTGGGCCATAGAAAACAGCACTGCAGGTGGATTCCATCCTGGGTAGCTATGTTGCGACCTCTGGAAAGGAAAGAGGCACTGAGCTGGGAGTCAGGGGTCTGAGTCCCAGTCCTGGCACTGTCATTTCTTAATTGCGGTTTTTGGTAAGTAATATCACCTCTCTGGGGCTAGGATTCCATACCTCAGTGGTAAGGGAGCAGACCCATGTGATCCATGACATTTTGTAATTTTTAATGGTCATCATCCTCTATATTTATACAAAGCATCTTGGATACAATGAGTCATAAAATTATTTTAACACTTGTGTTGGGCAGAACTATGGTGTATTATTGGACCAGGCTAGAGATTTATACATTTTCCTCTCCTAAAACACTGAGATTAAACCCAGAAGCAAGCCAGAATGGAGAAAACCATTTCATCGAGCATAATAATACCCACCTCTCCAAGAAAACTTTAAGCAAATATTATTTGCCCCTTATTTTACACATGAGAGAACTAAGAATCAATGAGGTATGATTAATCCAAAGCTACCTAAAGAAAGTTAGGGGCAGAGCTGGAAGGTGAACCCAAGACTTTTGATGTCAACACAAGCAATGCTGAGCTATTCTTGATTCTGATTATATTTTATTCCATCCTCATGAACCCAAAACTTTAGAATATCACATTTTTGTTTTAAAAGTGCTCCTCAGTATCTCCAGTCTTCTAGAGCCCAAGTCTGGCTTCAGCCCAGCTGAAACTATAGTATTTCAAGATTCCTTTCTCCCAAAAAAGACTGAATGTAGAATGGTGTCCACCATAAATAATGGCCCCATTTCCATGAGCCTTCTTAAAGGCTTGTTGCATTATTCAACCTCTCAAAAGTACAAGAGCATATTAAAAGTAAAACCAGTCTTTTGTGGAGAAAATAAAACTAGAGTCACAAAAAAAGGGCGCTTCTGGCTCTGTCACTAATGACTTCGAGTATGTCATGTGCCTTCTCAGAACCTTGGTTTCTCCATCTGTAAATCAGCTGTTCTCCAGCTTCCCCAACGCTAACATTCTGGAACTTGGGTATGCCATTGGCACCTTGGTTGGAAAAAGGAGTCGTTCACACTGGCTTTGTTGTGATCATAACTAAGCCACAGGCATGTCTTTTACCAGATGAGGTCCTTTTGACACTAGATGAGTCATTGTGCAGGGCCAATCACAGACCTGCCTTGAGCTGTCACCTTGTAGGTTGCTGCTTGTAACTGGGAGTCTGGCCTTCAACTGTGAAAGGCCAGACCACAGAGAGTTAGCAAAGGCCAGCTCACATCTGGCCTGGAATGAACAGCAGGGTGCCGCGGGATCACGTAAGAAGCATTTGGCAGCAGGAAGAAGAACATCTGAAAAGCATTAGGTTTCTGAAAGCCTGACCTCCCAAAGTTGTCAAGAACATTCAAATGCTCTTTGGTCTTTAAAGGATTGTTGATAGTTTCCAGGGCCAAGGAATGTAGCCTGGCCATTTGCAACCAAGAGGAGGCCCACACTCACACCAGGCTTACCTCCCAGGCCTAAGAATCATGCTGGGAAGGGCCCATGTGAACCACTTGTTCTTAGCCAGCGGGTCTGGTACTGAAGACCCTCTGCTCATGAGCCAAAGGCGTTTGGCTGCAGGAAGCTGATGGTGCATGTGCATGCTCGGGGTACAACTCAGTGGAACGAAGTTTGCTCAGACCTTTCTTCTTCCCCTAAAGGTACTACAGGGCTCCTGGGTGCAATGATGGGTGGCTCAGAACAGGGCCCATGCATCATTGCTTGTAGATTATGCCACCTTTCCCCATTCCTAGATGCCCTGGGCATCCATTCACAGCATGAGTCCTTTCTGCTAGAGAAGAAAAGGTTGGAGGGCCCATCACATGATCTTTACATGTAATGAGGCATTGTGGGATATAAGACAAGACATTGATCTTAGAATCTAATTAAGCCTCTGCTATTTATCTTAATAGCTATGTGATCTTGGGCTAGTCACTTATCCTCTGGAGAGTTTTACTCACCTATGAAATGGGGGTGACTAGGGCAAGTGAAATAAAAATTAAAGAAACTTGGGATTTGAAAGATCCTTGGAGATCATCTTGATCAACTGCCTCATTTAGCAGATCAAACATTAAAATCTAGAGAGGGCAATTTACTTACCCAAAGTCACACAGAAGACAGGAGAGAAAAGCCAGGTCAAGGCCACAGGTGTTTTGGCTCCCAGTCCAGTGTTTGCTGTGACCTGCTGGACAACCTTTCTGTTTCCTTTCATCTCTCAAAGCCCATGACCTACAGTTTTCAGAATTTGTCTAAGTAGACACAGTATGAACTAGTTCTGGAATATGAAATGCCTTTCTAGAGGAAAAAAAGGGGAGAGGTGATCACAGTTAGAGACAGGCCTGACTCAGATGGCCCAGGCCGAAAGTAATCCTGGCTACAAATGGTTCAAGATGGTGACGGTCCCTGCATGAAATGGTTTGGTCATAGATGGCCCAGAGTACATCTTGGCCAGACTAGAAGACTTAGGCGAAGCACAGAGCTCTCCCAGGCTGGTGTGGCCCCATGATGCAGAGCAGGGTCCTGTGGTGGCATAATCTACAGTGGGTGAGATGTGAATTTCTCTTAGTGGCTCTTTCACACGTCTGACCTGACCAGTCTCCGTCTCTTGTCCCCACTCCCTCCTTCTCCTTACAGTGTGTGGACAGCCCTCCCGGTCTCTGCCAAATCTAGTCAAGCGGATCATCGGGGGCCGGAATGCCGAGCCCGGCCTCTTCCCGTGGCAGGCCCTGATAGTGGTGGAGGATACCTCGAGGGTGCCAAATGACAAGTGGTTTGGGAGTGGGGCCCTGCTCTCCGAGTCATGGATCCTCACAGCAGCCCATGTGCTGCGCTCCCAGCGCAGAGACAACACAGTGACCCCAGTGTCCAAGGAGCACATCACCGTCTACCTGGGCCTGCATGACATGCGGGACAAATCGGGGGCTGTCAACAGCTCAGCTGCCCGAGTGGTGCTCCACCCCGACTTCAACATCCAGAACTACAACCATGACATAGCTCTGGTCCAGCTGCAGGAACCCGTGCCACTGGGACCCCACATCATGCCCATCTGCCTGCCAAAGCCTGAACCCGAAGGCCCGGTGCCCCACATGCTAGGCCTGGTGGCAGGCTGGGGCATCTCCAATCCTAATGTGACAGTGGATGAGATCATCAGCAGCGGCACACGGACCTTGTCAGATGTCCTGCAGTATGTCAAGTTACCCGTGGTGCCACACGCCGAGTGCAAAACCAGCTATGAGTCCCGCTTGGGCAACTACAGCGTCACAGAGAACATGTTCTGTGCCGGCTACTATGAGGGCGGCAAGGACACATGCCTTGGAGATAGCGGTGGGGCCTTTGTCATCCTTGATGACTTGAGCCAGACCTGGGTGGCCCAAGGCCTAGTGTCCTGGGGGGGCCCTGAAGAATGTGGCAGCAAGCAGGTCTATGGGGTCTACACAAAGGTCTCCAACTACGTGGACTGGGTGTGGGAGCAGATGGGCTCTCCGCAAGGCCTGGGGGCGCTCCAGGTGGAGCGGTGAGCTGACTGACCTCCTCAGGGCCTGGCTGCCCTGCCTCAGCCCGCGTGGGCTGACCGCACACTTCCAACAGCACACTCCACGTTACTCACCGGACCAACTGCAATGGAACATGCTGCCCCCATCCTCCTGAGACAACGCCAGGATGCTGAGAGGCAGCAGAGTGGTAGAGGGGAAAGTCTCCACCCAGAGACTTGGTTCCATGGCCCTGGGCAAGTCCCTTCCCCTCTCCAGGCCTCTCTGTCCTCAGCAGTAGGAGGGAGCAGGACGTCTGGGCCGGTCCAAGCACTCCTCTCCAGGACCGCCTTACCCCAGTGGCCCCATTCACTCCTATTCTCTTATCAAATCCACTGTTGGTATAACCGGGCCTGATTGTTAGAAAAGGTTTTCTTTTATTAAGCTGAACTCCGAGTCCATATATTTTCCCAAGTCTGTCCTCTGAGCACAGACAAGTCTAGTTCCTCCTCTAGGAGAAAACCGTTCAGGTTTGGGGAGATGGCGTCATACCCCGAGGCCCCTCCTCCTAGTGAAATCTCTGCAGTACTCTTATCACTGGGGTTTCTCTCTCAAAAGCTTCTTGTAGTCCAAGCCTTAGCCTTTATGTTCTCTGTTAAAGGGATTTCAAAGGACACAGCGAAAGCTGGGAATGTGTGGGTGTCTGGAGGAGGAGAGCAGTGGGAAGCTCCCCGACCCTGTTAAATTTCTATTGTCAACTCAGAACATGTCATTTGGGACCATATGTCACCCTCGAGTACCAGCTGACAACACAGGATACTCCAGACAAGCCTGAAGCAACCGTCCAGCCTTGAAATGTGTCATCTGAAAAGGCTACCTTCGCCCCAGCCCCATGCATGGAGACTCCTCTGGATTGCTGGGAAAAAGAGAAGGCACGCACTGTGCCCCACAGTGCTTCTGAGCAGGAGAATGGAAGGCAGGTGGGCCGAGGACATTAGGAGTGACCCCATCCCACCAGGCTGCCCAGCATGCCCACAGTCTGAGCTCTTCCGGGAACCCACCCAGCATGGATGTTCAGAAGGATGCCCCTCCGGCTTCCGGGAGCCAGAGTACAAGGCAACAGACACTTGCCCATGAGAAGAGACAGAGAGCTGAGTCCTGGACTCCAGCCCCAGCTCTGCCCCGACTGGCTGGATAACCTCTGACAAATCACTTTTCCTTTGGGGGCCTCAGTTTCACCATCTGTAAAAGAAAAGCATGAGATTTTCCAATTGCCAGCAGCCTCTCCCTTGCCCTCACAGGGCGGATGGTCCTCCCAAGATTTTCCACCAGAGACAGACAGCCAGAGAAGGCCCTGAGAGGGACTCCAGAGAACATCTGGGAAGTGTCCGCTTTCCCAGTGGATTCATGAAACCACACTCCTGTGTCTATGAAAGCTGCATGTAGAGGATGCTATGTATTGTATATTTTATATCACAAGCTCACTACTCTGTAAGGTGCCTCTGTACTCTGTTTCTCCTGCCAAGGGTCTAAAGTGGAAATAAACCCTCTGTGGATAATCAACAGCCTTCATCTGGGGGTCTGGTTATTATTGATATTTGTTTGTTTTGACTCTTTAAAAAGAAACTTGCCCCTCACGAAGACAAAACCTCTCCCATTACAGAAAAAGTACAACTTTGTCACCTAGATATCATCCAAGAAAAGGTGATGAGGAATGGGGTTGCTAGTGACATGTGGCCTCTCAGAGGCTGCACAGCCTGCTATTTAAGCCCTTGACTTCTAAGAGCTCAAACTAGCATGCAAGGCAAGGTCCTGTGCATCCGGGTCGCTCACAGGAGTCATAGAGGAGTGGAGATGGCAGTGTTATGGGAACTTAAAAGGAGCAAGGAACCCATACAGCTGAAGGGGGTCAGGGCAGCTTTGCAGAGGTTGCAGAGGTTGCCAAGGCTGCCCTGAGGGGCGGAAGGAATGGGCAGAGAGGACAATGATCCAGCAAGAAAGTGTGCGTGACTAGAGTGGGAGCTGTGGGGTTAAGGGAGAGTGGAAAGGGTCTTGAAAGCCATACTGTTTGCACATTGTCCTGCAACTAGTGACTCTCTAATTTGGGGTATATCACACTCACCTAGGATGCTGGTTAGAAATGCAGATTTCTGGGTCTCCCCCCACCCGGGGAATTCTGAATCAGCAGGTTTGAGGGTGGGCTGCATAGTGTGGGAAGTGGCTTGTTGCAGGCGGTGAGCTAGAGGAAAAGGTGGGGAGACTACTGCAGTCATTCAGAGGGAGATGGTGAAAACCCACCTCACCCAGGGCTATGCTAGCGCAGACGTGGGCGCAGGGAGTTTAAGACAGTTAAGGAGTGTGTTCAGCGGGCCTTGGTGTCCAGGCTTAGAAAGGGTGCAGGTGCAGGGGGGCACAGGCTTGTTGGTTAGCGGGGGCTGTCCATGGAATGTGCTCATTCTGTGCCTTTGTTTGGAGTTTGTATTATAATGACGATGTCATGCTTTTCACACCGCTGGGAACTGAACAATTCTAAATTATGTTTTACACTTTATATGTGGCTGGTTTCAAGGATTACCATATCTTGTGTTACATTTCAGATTTTTACTTTCCTCTAGATAGTTGGACTGTGTGTTGTGACATACTGAGACACTGAGGGTCGTGAGGTTATGTGGAGCAAACTGACATGGAGTGGGAGGGACACATTACTCTCCACTTCCCCTCGTGATTTCTCACGGGTCAGTGACTGAGTACAGGGTGAAGGAAAGGAAGACAACAAAGATAAGGCCAGTGCAGACATTAAATGTAGGCATTAATAGACATCTGGATAACAAAGAGGAGAAGGTTGTTGAAGGGCAGAGACCAGGGCTTGGCTCCGCTGCGCTGGAGGAGTTTATGAGCATTCCAGCCGGAGGTAAGGAAGGAGGTATTTCAGGGGGAGGGGCAGACTAGAGACACCGATTTGATATCCCTCAGGGTATAGTGGTGTGATGGCATGAAAGGAGAAGGTATTATGTACTGGAAGTTTGCAGGAAAAAGAGGGAGGGGGGTAGGACTGAACAAGGGAAATACTAGCATGGGAGGCATAGAGAGAAGAGAAACGAGAGAGACAAAAAAGAGGGATCGAAACAAGGAACAGAAGTGCTTCAGAAGCCAAAGAGGGTACGTGTCAAGAGAGATGTAAAGTAGTTAACAGTGCGAAGGCCACAGTGTAGTCCAGAGGAGCATCTGAGGCTGGACATTCCTCGGGGACGGGGACCCAATCTCTGTTGTCAACTCTGAAAGAATGGCCAGGGAGCAGGGACCATGCTGATGTTTAAAGTCCCTAACCCTCCCGCTCTCCCCTCTTTTCCCCTTCCCCTCCTCCTCCTTCCCCTCCTCCTCCTTCCCCTCCTCCTCCTTCCCCTCCTCCTCCTTCTCCTCCTCCTCCTCCTCCTCTTCCTCCTCCTTCCCCTCCTTCTCCTCCTCCTCCTCCTCCTCCTTCCCCTCCTCCTCCTCCTCCTTCTTCTCCTCCTCACTCCCCCCCCTTTCTTGCTCCCTTTCTTTTTCTCCCCTTCCTTCCATCCTCCTCCCCTCCCTCCCTCTCCAGGCATCTCCTAAATTTTTAGGTCTTTCCTGAGACAGGACACACTACCCTTACATTCTCCCTTCTCTATGACTTATAGTAAAAGTTATATACCCAGTTTTCCCAGTTGTACTTCCTTAAAACCTACAATTTTTTTTTTACCACGGGCCCTGAATCTTCAAATGAAAGTCTGTATTTCCAGACATTGGTTTGTGCTTTGCTCTTTCCGAAGGCAAAGCTGTATCTGGCCTAACTTAAAACAAGGATGCTCCAGCTTCAATAGTGAGGAGTCGCAGGGCAAGGAGACTTCCGGGGAATGAAGAATACATGAGATAGATGTTCAAATAGTTTCTTCCTATACGTGTAGCTCTCACTATTGAACATCTGTTTATGGGTCCAGAGCCATTCTATCTCCATCTATGGTTGTGGATCTAGTAACTATTCAAACGGCTACTTTTCTTCCAAGTATGTGCAGAGCATGGTGCTTCTTCTAAATTCACCTCAAAGGAGAGAGAAGGATGTGGAGACTGTCAACTCTTCTTTCCAGAAGCTTAGCTATGGAAAGCATGGAGGGTAGAAGTCTGATTTTAGGATGAGAGGGCCTGACCACATTTTGGAGTCATAGAAAAAAGAGAGATGCAAAATACAGGAAAGGGTATGAATCCCCAAAGCCAGGTCCCCAAGAGTTTGGAAGTGAGGAGATCTAAAGTCCAGAACTACTTCTGAAGAGAAGGAAGTTTACAGAAGCAGATGGAGAGAGGGATGGTTGGGGCACTTCCCATACAGTGGGCTCTGAGTATCTCCTGGGAATGGGGCAGGTGTTTAGCTTAGGGAGAGAGAGAGAATTACAGGCTCACATAACTGAAAGTCTATACCAAAAAGCTTCAGGTATGGTTAGATCAAGGGGCTCAAATATCAGGATACAATCTCTCTTACTTCACCCCTCATCTTCTAGCCCCACTTTTCTCTGCTAGTAAGGTTATTCTCAGCAGACTCTTCATGAAGTGATTATTGGCAGACCTGGGCTTATAACCAGTATCTTAGCAACCCCAGCAAAGAAATACCTTCTCTCTCTCTATCCTTAGCAAAACTCCCGTCAGGTTTTCATTGGCCTGGCCATGGTTCCATTCTGATCTCTGAGCAATTGCTGTGACCAGAGGAGGAGAGGTATTAATTAGTTAGGTCTAGGTCACATCCCCACCCCTAAAACCAGAGGTACAGTCATTCCAACTCAGGATATATGGACTCGGAGTAGGGGAAGAGTGGATCCCAGGGGGAAATTAGCATGCTGTCACTGAATGGGGCAATGGATGCTGGGAAATCAAAAAATAACAGATGTTCCTAACAGAGAGTAACGAGCCGGCAGCTCTGGCAAAGGGCAGTATGGAGCCAAGAGTGTGACGTGTCCCTGCCTCCCTTGCCACAGTGTGTGGGCTCCCCAAGTTCACCCGGAAGTTTATAGCCAGGATCTTCAGTGGAAATCCAGCCGAGAAGGGCACCACCCCCTGGATTGCCATGCTGGCGCACCCGAACGAGCAGCCCTTCTGTGGAGGCTCCCTTCTAGGTAAGGAGAAAGTGGAAGGGTGGGGAGCCCAGGGGTAGGGACCAGGGTGGAAGTGAAGGTACCTGACCCTCTTTCTGTACACTGATCAACATTTCAACATGTCTTCCCTGAGGGCCGCTGTCTGCACTACAGCAAGGCCCAGAAGTTCGGGAGCGGGAGCAGGAGGCGTGTTCCTAGTCAAGCTGGCTCCTTCAGTCAGCAAGCCCTGCTGAGGCCTGCTCAGTGTCTGGGCGTGGAAGGGTCAGAGAGTCCGCCCCTCAGATACGGATCCCAACACATGGCTCCAGGGCAGGGTGGCCAGGGCTGTGGGGTCAGGGAGAACCAGCAAATTCGCCCTCAGACCTTAGGGAAGAGAGACTTACACAGGCCTTGAATGCCTTGCTGAGGGGTTTAGATTTTTATCCTGAACACTAATGCAGGTTTATAAGCATGTTCTGGAGAGTTCTCTCAGGGGCGATGAGAATTGCAATGGAGGGTGACTCAGGAGGCGAGGCATTCAGTGAGGTGGCGATCGCAGTGGTAGTGAAGGGAAGTCATTAGCTTCAGGATATGGACAGGAGATGGGGGATGGAAACGAGGCTGATTCAAAAGCATTGGGAAATCA